CCTTACTGTATAGGTGAATTACCCAATTCCACCATAAACCGTTGTCACCTCATGGGTGATGTCAGGGCTTTTATGCCTCTTTTCACTCTCAATGGACTTAGGAGCCGTCTGGAGCCTGGCACTGCCCAAAGCCCTTCCCAGAGGTGTCGTGGTGCCCAGGAGCCAGTTGGTACAGAGCCAGGCACCTCTGGGCACAGCTGGCCATGTCCTCCTCTGCTCCCTCTTGGTGGGGCTGCCTTGCAAAGCGGGCTCCTGGCACACACCCTCCCACCATCACCCCCGTGGGGAGGAGCAGCAGCTTTGGAGGTGGTGTCTGACCAGCTGATGGCTTCTGTCTTCCCACCTCCTCCTGGCCCTGGGGTTTCGATGGGGCAGGACAGGCTGTTTCTGTGGCACTGAGTTTTGTCAATAGCCCTGCAACCACTGGCTTTGTTCCTTCCTTCTGCCTGCTGGGAAAACCTGAAGGACCAGTTTCTCCTCCCGGATGCAATTCCTCCCAGTTGCCCTTTGAGGCTTTTGGCTCCACTGGCAGCTGAAAGCGCAGCAGTGGAGGGTAAGCCAGACTGGCACAGCCTCCCCTGTGCCCCCACTGTGCCCCTTCTCTCCAATTCCCACTGCCCAGGCACCAATGGAGCTTTTGAGCTCTCCAGAGGAGATTCCATCCCATCACCAGCCCCAGGACACATCTCAGCCCACCCACCCACATGGGTGCCACCAGGCACCCTGTACCCCTTAGACTTGTCTGATTCTCCCACACTGGCACCCCGGGGGTGCCTGGCAGCACCCCAGAAGCTGACAGTTGTGCCATGGAAGCACGAGGTCGAAAGGTCCTCAAGGAACACATGGCAGGAAACAGAAACTTCCTTATTGCCCCTCGGAAGACGTCAGGAGATGGCCGAACACCTGCTGTACCTGGGTGTGTGCCAGAGTGGGGGCTCTTCTGCTCTTCCTGCAACACAGGGTGAGGGAGGCCAGGAGGGTAAAGTCCCCCTTGCAGGGATGTTGGGCGAGCAGTCAGCGCCCTGGGCCTGCCAGAGCACGTGCCAATCCCTGGCAGTGCTCAGCACTGGGTGATTTAGGAAAGGAGCCGCCCCCTCCTTCCTGGGAATTGTCATAATGGGGACAGGTACGTGAGAGGAAGGAGGAATTGCACCTCTTTGGGTTTGTGCTGATAAAAGAAGTAAATTAAGATGCGAAAGCAAACTCATGTGGCACCAGCTACCTAAGGAGTGCCCTCTGCAGGGAATTTCCCCCGCCTGCACAACAGCCTGGCCAGGATGTTCCCGGATTAGGGAGGAGAGGACATCCTCGAAGGGCACGGTCTGGCCCAGGGGAAGAAGTGAGGCAATGCACACTTTCCCTGGCATAGCCTTACTCTTTTGGTCCCCTTCTCCTCTTCTTCCTCCATGCCTCAGAGATAAACTGTCCTGGGTGCTGACACTACCCCAAGTGTGCTTCCTAGGCAGCTCCCTGCCCTGATTATTTGTGGGGATATCAGAGGAGGCGATGGAAGGGCTGTTCAGAAGGCAGCAGGCAGGAGCTGACATTGAACCTGGGGTGTTAATCATTAATTCTGTGCTGGGCAGGACATGGGACAATAACCATCATGGCAACAATTCTGGGTACCCAGTTGAAGATTAATTCGCTGCCAGCCTTGGGCGTGGGCACAGGAGGTGGCAGCCCTGTGTCGGGAAGCGCAACAAGGAATAGGGATGGGCTGGGTGCAGGGGAAGGATGACCCCCCCCGCTGCAGCTGGGATCAAGGGGAGAAGCCAAGCAGGGTCCCTTCCTGGGAAGAGTTTGGGCACCTTGGCATTGCAGGACTTTTTATGAAGCAGAGGGTGCTGAAAATTTAGGATCAGCTTCCTGAACTGGGATGCAAGTGGCTTGGGCATAGCATCACTGACTTCCTCCCATGCAGGGAAGGGGTCAGCACACCCAGCATCCCTCTAGTGCTGAGATCTCTCCATCCTAGAGATCCTCTGGATCTGTTATCCTGGAAGACTGGCTGGAGGGTGTTCCTTCTATCTGTGGGGCACAGAGGGACTGATGTGCCATGGGGAAGGGTCAGCCATCATCATCAGAGCACAGGGATTCCCCGCTCCCACAGCACAGAGAGATCCCTGGCAAAAAACCAAAATGCATAAAAATAAACACCACCAGAAATTATGCAAAACTCCCCACCCCCCCACAAGCTCTGGAAAGGTCAAGTTTCATGCCAAAGCTATTTTGCTTTTGTTTAATTATCAGCCAGCTCCTGGGACGTGGAGCAGCCCAGACAGGTTCTCCTTTGTAGGGCTGCACAAAGCCAGGGAGGCCAGGCTGGGGGGGCTGCAAGGGGCTAGGAGAGACCTGGGAACCACAACTTGAGCAGGACAAGCTAAAGCTCAGGGGGCTGAGCTGTGGGAAAGAGGGGTCAGGCTTCCCAGGGAGGGCAGGTGACAGGCCAGTCCCCCAGCCAGCTCCTGGCCAGCTGGGCATGCTCCAGCATCAGCGGGCTGTCCTAGGAAGGGAGCAGGACCCCAAAAAGAGGACAGGATAGGGAGCGACCTGGCTTATCTAACAAGCTCCCAGGGACTGAGTCCCCTGGGCAGTGAGCCTTGGCATCACCATCACCTGGGGGTGATGAGCTGGGGCTCTCCATCAGCCTGGCACAGGTGCTCCTCCTTCAAAGGGGTTAACCTGTTTCTAGCACCGTGCCTCCATTTCAGGAGGGGAGGCCCCTATGAACACAGCAGTTTGCAAATACTGGCTCCTCGAGGTGGGCATGATAGGGTGGGTGTCAGACTTGAGCCCACAGCACCCTGCAGGGCTCTGCCCTAGGGAAGACCCAGCAGCTTGATCCTCCCCTTGCTTGTGGTGCCCTGGCAGCGGCTCAGCACCAAAGGGTTTGGGCAGGAGGCAGAGGGGGAGGCTGCCAGGAGGTGAGACCCCCTCCAGCATCGCCAAGCCAAGACCCTGGGACCTGGCAAAAAGCTTCTGTCAAGGGCTGTGCCCGGTCCTGAGGAAGGGGTGGTAGCCCAGCCTGGCTGCAGGGACCAAGCAGGGGAGCAGGAGGCAGCCAGTCTGGGATGCAGGTTGCAGCCAGTCCATGCCAGTGGCTGACACTCTCCCACTGCCACTTCATTTGTGTCCTGTAGTCTCTGCCCCCAAAATGGGTACATCCCCAGCCCTCCCAAGGCCACCTGTCCCACGATGGGAGCAGAAATCTGGAATGGCCACGAGGGTGATGAGTCACAGCTCTCAGGGGATCAGTACCTGGAGGTGTTGAAGGAAACAAGGGGGCTGGTTACGCCAAGCAGTCACCAGGCAGCTCGTCAAAGTTTCCGTAGTGAAGATTAAAGTGATAAAGCTTGAGGAGGGAACAGCTCACAAACCCGTGCCAGCCGCGCTGGCACCGCCTGGCACTGCACGGAGGACCTCTGCTGGCACAGGCCCAGGGCCACTGTTAGCCCATGGCCAGGCCTGCCCTGCACAGGAGACAGGGAGCCTGGCCCTGGCCCGCACACGAGGCCGGCGATGGAACACACGAGGCTCAACAGCTTTGCAACGTTTACTCTTGAAAAAATAATTCGATTCAGAAAGCGGCAAACCCTGGTGATGCCACACACCCAGCCCTGCCACTGCTGCCACCCCAGAGCCTTGCTGGGGCAATGGGGAGGATGGGAACAGCACCCAGCAGGCCCAGAGAGGTTTGCAGAGAAGGGAGATGACGCCCACCAGTCAAGTCCTGCTGTCGCTGACAGCAGAGACCCACAGCCCCCTGGTCACTGCAGGGTTGGCACCAGAGGAACTTTTGCTTAGCCATTCCCTTCCTCTAGGACCACCTTCCCCAGCCCCAAGAAGAGCTGGGAGGAAGCCAATCCTGAGCCCTGCCAGAGAAGGGAAAGGGGGTTCATTTATTTTGAGGGTGAAGAGAAACTGGGCCTTGGGATGCTAAGGAAAGGGTAATGGTGAGCCATGGAAGTTTTTCCAAAGCAGGGCATGGGGAGCAAGCTACTTTCCCCAAAAAGAAACCAAGTCCCTTTTCCATCACTCTAAAAAGACCTCTTTTACCCTGAGGGCCAGCGCAGGGGACACTTGCCCACTGGCTGCCAGACTGGAGTCCCTCTGAAGGGCAGTGCTGGGGAGGGCAGAGTTGAAGCCCAGACTGGTGCTGCAGGCTCTGGGATGCCACCCTGCACTCTCTTGTTCCCCTCTTGCATCTATCCCGTTCCTGCTGCCAGGGCAGGCATGCAAGGGCCAGAAGGGTCAGAGTCCCTGCAGTCACACTAGAGCTGCACTGGGATCACCTTGGCCAAAGAGATTTCCCTCGTTTGCAATTTTTCCTTCCTAATGTGGGCAAGGAAGGAAGGCAGGGAGCAGAGGATGGAGCAAGGGGAACAAGGGACAAACCTTCCATGACTGCTCCTGCACAGGCTGGGGGCTGCCAGCTCTCCATGTTGCTTTCCTGTTATCCACCCCCTTCCCAGAAGCAATAAATAAATAAGTTAGTGTAGTGTAGACCCCGATGCTCAGTTCACAGTGAGAAAATGAAGGGGAAAAGCCCCTGTGACCACAGAGAAAGGTCTGAGCAGCAACTCCTTCTCCCAAAGGCAAGCCAGAGCGTTGCATCCCTGCCTGAGGCTGGGGTACACCAGCAGAGATCTCTTGCTGCATGGATGTGACAGGGAGGTGTACTGAGCAAGGGGACCAGGACTGCCCCCCCAGGCGCAGGGGGGGCATTAGTACCGAGTGGCTGGGAACTGGGGGGGGCCATGGGGTCCTTCCTAAGGCAGGGAAGGGGGGACAGGAACCTCCTCCCTCTCCCTCTGCATGAGGGCTGTACCACAGCAGGACGGCCAGGCTGCCCATCCTATATCAGCTCACAACTTCCCTGCTAGCAACGTACCACAGTCAGGGTGGGGGTTCAGGAGAAGGAATGCCCTCTGCCTTCAGCAGAAACAGGAGATGCCTGGGCAGGGAAGAGGGAGAGACAGGGTACAGTACCACAGGCAAGGTCCATGTCAGTGCAGCATCTCTTGCTCCAGAGGACCCCAGCCCATCCTGCCCCTGCAGCGAGGGGCATGGCCACTGGCTGCTCCCATCTCGCTCTGCAAGGCACTTTCACCCCCTCTCCCACGACTCGGGGGGCAGGGCTGCTCCCCACAGACAAGGTGGGGGAAGATGGTCTGAGCTGCAGCACCGCCTGATCCACTTCCATCTACAGTCATCTCCAGCTTCCAGAACTGACAGCCCTCGTGCTGGGTAGGGGGTGTCCCCTACGTGTATCCACAGCAGGTCCAGCTCCTCTTCAGCATTCCCTTTTTGCCCGTGAGCTGGGCTGCACCAGTACCTGCAGCCCACGAAACAAAGCCAGTGTGCAGGAAGCTGTCCAACCCTGCATACAATCCTCAAGGTGCATCCATCGTGCAGGTAACAGAAGAGATGCTGGAATATCCCCTCTTCACCACCGTGATCACCATGGGGCACGGAGCCAGCCAGGCAAGAGTTAATAAATACCACCCAGCTGGCAGGCTGCAGCACTTGCACCAGGCCTCCTCCTCAGGACTTCGGGGCCAAAAAGGGGAGCAGAGGTGTTTGTTGAGGCCCCTTCTAGGCTCCAGTTGAGCATCTCCTTCCTCCAGCCTTGCCCAGCCAGGGGGCAAAAGGAGCAGCGTTAGTAAAGCGTCTGTGTTAAAAAACGAAAGTTCCTGGGATGGGGGTGACGTATCTACAGGGAATGACCCTGTCCTGTGCAAGGGAGAGGGAGACCATGACAGGGGGCTGGAGGGAGCCCAAGATCTCATTTTGCAGCCCAAAACAGGAGTCTGTATCCAGTCACCAGCCTCCAGGAGCTGCTGCCACCTCTGGCTCTGCACCGTGGGGGGCTCTGTCGTCCCCCAGGCCCCTTCACTTCCAGATGCCAGTCTCACGTCTGCTCTGCTGCCGCAACCGCTGGCACTGCCACTGCCCCCTCCTCCTTGGCAGGGGGCTCCATGTAGATTGGAGTCACTGATGAGGGTTTCTTGGACCTGCAGGTGAGGGAGCTGGATGGGAGCAGGCAGGGGTGGTGGTCCCCCCCTCAGGACCCCAGCAAGATCTCCTTCCCACAGGGGCATCCTCCAGCCCTGGGAATGTATCCTGTCCCCCCTCCCACCACACAGACTAAGAAAGGGGGATAGTAGTGTCCCGCCAGGATTGGGCTGGGACAGAAGCGGATGATGCAGTGTGCCAGGCAGGGGGCAGTGCCACGAAGATGGGGGATTACTCAAATTGTTGTGTTCCCAATACTCACGAGTAGGGGGAGGCAGGGACCCCCACCACAAGGAAGTGGTTCTTCTTGCGGAAGAGCCGCCACAGCCCCTTGTGATTCCCGCGGACGTCCAGGTCCCAAATGTGGAGGCACTGGGATGGTGGGGTGGGAGGAAGAGGCATCAGAGCCTGGGGACAGACACCAGGGCCAGGCGTCCCCTGGCATGGGAAGAGCCACCACCCCTGCCCTCAGCGAGACAGGGCAGAGAGGGCAGCACCCCCCTCCAGCCACACCGAGAGCTTTAACATCACCCAGGCACAGCAAGAACACACTTGCTGAGCTGCATTGATGCCATGGACACCCAGGCAATGCAGAGATCAGTGCAGGCCTGAGGACAGGCCATGTCAGGGGCCTCACCTTCGCAAGCTGAGTCCAGGTGGTGAAATCTGCTTCCTGCTCCATCCTGATGAACATGACGTAGACCTTGCCCTCAGTGTCGGGCACGAAGGAGTCCTCACAGGGATTCTTGCTGTGGTCCAAAACCTCAGCCTCACTGTGGAAACAGAACAGGGAGTGAGAGGGGACCCCACCTCCCTACTATTCCCATGGCAGAGTATTTCAGAAAGGCACCAGGGCTACCAGGGCCACCTCCGCCCTTCCTCCTGTCCCAGTGTGCCCCGAGGCCTCCCAACCTTCCTGTAGGCACTTACCCCAAGAGCCGATGAATTTCAGTCTCATAGGCATCCTTCCTCAAGCTGTGGGAGGAGGAGAGAACACAGAGATCAGAGCAGAGTCAGTTTGATAAGCAGGGAACATCCAAAATGATCCAAATTTAAGACCGCCCCAGTGTAATACTAAAGGTAGGCTGGAACCAACCAATGGAGAGCAGTGACTGCCACGCATCCTGGAGATGTGGCAGCAAAAACATGACCCTTCAACATATCCACCTGCAGCACAGGGTAGCCAGACCCAACCTTGCATAAACCAGTGCCAGGATTCCCCAGCAGAGGCCAGTGTGCTGATGCAGGAGGCTATGGCTGTTCCAGAAGGAAGGGAGATAAGTCCAGCACAAGGAGACAAGGGTCAGGTCAAGCAACTGCTTCCTCAAGATCTCATTCATTCTGACCAGCACTCACCTCTCCACATTTTTAAGCTGGACATTTGGAACTGTGTTGAACTTGTGCTTCTTGAAATAGGCTTCCTGGGAGGAAGAGAGAAGGGAAGGAAGGACAAGAGGGTTCGATCACGAGTCAGCAGTACTTGGGGATGACCTCAAGCATCCCCACTACCTGGGAAGGTGTCTGAGTCGGAGCTCAGCACCAGGACAGGGCTTGGGGACCGCAGGAGGTCTCTCACGTGGAAGTAGCCGTTCATGTTGAGCCCCACGATGCCGAAGTGGTAGGAGCGGGAGATGTCAGGGATGATGCACTCCCGGCCCTTGCGCTGCTCCGGCATCCGCATCCACATGTCCCAGTCCCAGAGCTGCAGAGGAGAAACTGCCACTCACACTCATGTTTGGGGACATCATTAGGCAGCATGGCCATCCAGGGACCTTTCTGGGTGCCCACACCAGGTCCAGCCCCTTTGGCCCCAGCCTCCCTGGGCTGTTCCAGCCAGCTCTGTGGCTGGTTATGAGCAAGCAGAATGTCCCAAATCCATTCTGCTTGGGCATCCTTCCCGGTTCAAGCACAGGGATAGCCCCTCCAAGAGCTGTGCACACAGGGACTGGGTGAGGATCAGGGCCTGCTGATGGGCGTGCAGAAGTCAGGGTCCCTCTAGGGTACTCACCTTCTCAGGGGTTGGCCACTTTGGCTCCAGCTCATCCTTGTACAGGCTCTTCCGGAGCACCCATCCCAGGCCTGGCATGGTCTCCACACGATACAGGAGTGAAGGGTCCTCAGCTGTGTGCTCATAGCCCTGCAATGTTATGGGGAGTGTTCAGCACCCTGAATGTACCCCTACCCCACCAAAAAGGGAGGTATCGTGCTCCACTGAGGTTCTCAGTGGAGACAGAGAAGAAGGGAACAGTCAGTGGGAAGCACATGGCAGGGACAGGATGGTGGTTTGCAGGGGCACTTTTCAAGAGTCCAGGGCTGGGGAGACAGACCCACTTAGGATGCCCTGCCTTAAAGATGGAACCTGCACCCCAGACTGATAAAGGAACAACAGAGGGCAGAGGTGGCCCTGTTGCACCATCCTCCCCTGACCCACCTGGTCGTTCCAAGCTGAGATGCAGTACAGGCTCTCGTCCTCCTCCAGAAGGTGTATTGATTGGCTCAGAAAGCTGAGGAAAGAGTTGAACAGTCCCCAGTCAAACATCCTGCTACCATGCAAAACAAGGCAAACTCTCTGCCAAGGGATGAGCCACCCCCCAACTGCTGGGACTGCTTGTCCCAAGTGGTGGGGAGGAACACCCAAAAACAAGCTAAGCTGCATCTCCCCACAGGGAGGGGACAGGATTGTCTCCTGCTCCTCAGTCTCTCCTCCTTAAGGAGAAACAGAAGTCCTGTTGGACACTGCCCTGTCCTCTTGCTGTGGGGCAACCCCAACCACATATGCACAGAATGGATCAGAGTCCCCAAAAAGCAAACCAGGAAGAGATGCCTGACCCTGAAGTCACTCTGCACTGAGTGCCAGGACAGTGGACTCAAGATTCCATGGGCAGAGCTCAGTTAGGCTGTTGTCTGGGGACTGCTCAGCCTCAGATAAGTGAGCTGCAGCATGGCAGGGATCTGGCCTCTCCTGAGCAGCCAGAGAGCTCCCAGGAAACGGTCTGCCCACACAGGAACCCACAACTTTACCTGAAGAAGTCGACAGAAATGTCAAGATCTTCCTCCAGAACCACAGCAAATTTAGCATCCTGCAGGGCAAGGAGAACATCAGAAGGATGGAGATGAACAGGACAGAGCAGAGACAGGCAGTGTCCCTTGCCTGTGCTGCTCCCTGCCCCTGAGAGGGGATCACAGATGCCAGGGACACCCTGCACTGCAGCAGTCTCACTCACCGGGAACAGGTTGAAGGTTGCAGTCAGGCTGGCTTTGTAGTGCTACAAGAAAAGACATCCATCGCCTGTGTTAGCATCATCAGCCTGGCACCGACCTGGGGCTAAGCCTGATTCCCTGGAATGCTATCCCAGGTCTCTGGAAATAACTGTCCCAGCATTTGGAAAAAGCTCTCTCACCTGAGAAACTCTAGCATTTTTAATGCTGATGGGAGTGTGCTGTATTCCTGAGAGGCCAAACAGCTCCACGACATCCATTGGCTCCTGCAATGGAAAAGCACAAAGCCCATCAAACATGTGGGTCATTCTCCCCACAGATAGTGCAGTAAAAAAAAAAAAGGAATAGCCAGGAACACCTAGTAGCTGCTTAATGGCAAGACCACAATCAACTCAATTTTCTCTCACAGTTGCCAAGAACATTCTGACCAAGCACATCTGCACTGGGGTCAGAAGTAACTCATATTTGGGCTGACATTTCTCTGCCCCAAGAAGGACCTACCAAGGCCTTCTCCATCCCCTTACTGTGCATCCCACCTCCAAGCCACAAAAGAGAGGAGCTCCCATTGTCCCAATCAGTGCCAACCCCCTTTCCCTGGTATCCACCATGGCAGCAGGAGCATCCAGGCTGCCCCCTCGCAGCTGAGGGATGCTGCTCCAGTTGCCATGGCAATGGATGCTGCTATCTTTAACCACTCTGATGTGGTACAGCAAGAGTCTGCATCAACAAACCAGCTCTCCCAGTCCCACAACGTGGCAGTGGTGGGAGAGGCCTGCGAGGGAACAAGCCTATTCCCTTCCCTGTCTCCATCACATGGCAACCAGGCAGTAACTCACCAGATGTTGCAGAGATGAGGCCTTAGCAAGCTCCTGAGATCTACTAAGACCCCACATGCCAGTCCCAGACTTCATTTCACTGCGAGAGCCAGGACTTGCAATAGGATTCTCCAGAGCTTTGTAAGGTTGAGCTCAGAGGAAGGTCTTTCCCTCTAAAGGGCCAGTTCTCCTCTGCCTGGCCCCAGCTTTCATGAGCCCCCAGCTTTGAGCCTTGTGAAAACACACTGTTTTGGGCCTCTTCACCTCTGACTGAGAGTGGAGCTGGACAGGCATGGTTGGACTGGTTTGTTCCTCTTCCCATGAGGGAGCTGGACAGGTGGTGTTACACCCAGACCCTGCCCAAGGGGCTGATGATGCTCATCAAGTGAGAAAAGGGGACATAACCTGCCACCCACGAAGGACTGGGCCAGAACCTCATACTCTTGTCTGGGGGACCATGGAGCTGGCTACATGGATCTCTGGGAATGCTCTCACCTCATAGTACCCGTCGATGAAGACTGTGATCATCTGTGGATTGACGCCCTGAGCCGACAGCAAGGAACGCAGCATCCTGGGGAGAGAGGGAGGGGCCTGAGAGCAGCACAGCCCCAGTGGGCACAGGCCCTTCAGCAGAGGGGTATGGATCCCTTGGGATGGGGGAAAGTGTGTATGATTAGGGAACAGGACCTATTGCCCTCGGGCTCTTCAACCCAGGGAGCTGCCCAAGCAGGTCGGCCCGTGCTGCTCATGCAATCCCAGGATGAGCCTGGATCCTGCCAGCAGGAGAAAGGGAAGGGCCTGGGCCATGCCTGGTCTTGTAGTGCAAAGCAGAGGAGCCCCCCTGGCAGTGCTTACCTGTACAGGTAGTTGGGGCGGTTCCCTGCAATGACAGCTACAGGCACATCAAAGACTTTATTGTCTTTGAGCTGGAAGAGAACAATGAGTGTGAGTGGGGAGGGAGAGGCTATGCCAGCCACAACGATGCTATGGTTTTATGGCACTGAGGGCACGTTCCAAGGGGTAGGGACCTGCTGCTAAAACAGCAGAGCTGCATAGTCCTATCCTTTAGCGCAGGACCACACCAACCAACCAGGACACCACTCAGCACTGCTGGAGACTCTGCCAGTTTCTCTCCTTCACCCCATCTCTGCCCCAACTCCCAAATCAAGAGTTTGCATCCACTCAGAGACCTTTGTCTGCACCCTTCAGCACTGTGCCAAGGACAGCCCAAAGGCCACGACAGCTGCTCCATCTCCAAAGGTACAAACTCTGCTGCTTATGCTGATGTCCCCAGAGCCAGTGTAACCTGGGGGCTCAGGGCAAGGGAACCCCCTTTCTCCAGTATCACCTGCCCCCATGTATTCACCTTACCTTTGCCAAGGCTCTGGGCTTGCCCAGGGGCAGTTTGGACTACTTAGCTGGTGCTTAAGAGCAGGGCTCTGCAAAACACACCTGGTCCAGCCCAGCCCTCCCTCCTGGAGCTTTCCCTGAACACTCTGCCCCAGCACTCACAGGATCAGGGTTGAACTCGATGGGTGTGGGGTCTTTGCAGCTGCAGACACTGCCATAACCTTCTACTTTGCTGCAGAACCTCTTGCGGCGCCGGTTCAGCTCCGTGTCGGGCCAGTGGCACTCAGCATCTGGAGGCACCCAGGAGCAAACACAGACCTGTCATCCTCACCTTGTGTGCTCCAGGCTGAACTACCACACACAAGGCTCTCCCTGGGCTCAGCCACCACCGAGCCCGTCCTCGGTACCAGGAACAAGCAACGCTTCTGGGTGTCGGACACAAACACAGGAGACATTCAGAGCCCAACCCCACCTGCGGCCTCTCTGAGCAGCAAGGGGTTGTTCAAGGCCAACACTCAGAAAAGAACCAGACCAGGTCTGGTTTGGAGAGGTGACAAATGTCCAGACCACAATCCCACTTCTCCGTCCTCATCCTTCTCAACAGCCATGCACGGAATTGCCAGGAAGGCAGGCAGAAGGGAAGCTGTGCCCATTTTACAAGTTACCATCACCGTCTCAAACAGCCTTAAATCCATCCTGGAATTTTGCTAACAGACCCACAGCTTTGACTTAAAACCAGGCAGCAGGCAGACATCTCCCAGAGACACCACACTGCAGACAGCACTTCCTACCTTCCACGGATGTCAGGTGAACTTCTGTCTTCAGCAGTACGGGGTCCCCCCACGTCGAGAGGGCAGGTGACTTGGCGTGCTTCTCCCCATACACTTCCCCTGGAGCAGGGACACAGGGTCAGGACTGTCTGGAAGGGCCCATCAAAGCATGACCAGGGGCTGTCAGCCTGGTTGGCAGCTTGGCACCTTTTGCCACTGGCCTCTGGCAAATTGCTGAAGGAACACACTCTGCCTCCATACTCTCCCCTCTCCCAGGAATGGAGCTGCCACTCTCTGTGACTTGTTCCCTGCTCATACAGCATGCTGGGGACAGGCTGGGTTTGTCTTCACCTGGCCTCTCCCAAAAAAAGGAGCCACAAAGCTTCTCCCAGCCTGTGCAAGACTCACCTCCCTTCTTCCCCACAAATGTCCACATGTCTCTCCAGCTCAGGAATGGTGCAACTTGGCTCCCCAGGCTTTTCAGGACACTCTTGGCTGTGTCCTTGAGGTGAAAGGAGCCTTCATCCTGCAACAAAACACAACCCTGCAGCTGAGGTCTCACTCCTGACAAGTCTTCCATCAATAACTAAGAAGTACAGGGCCCACTCCTACACCCTCGAACCAGTTGATCCTGAAACCTTCAATGTCTCTCTGCCACTAAAGCTGCTGGTGGCTTTATCACGACCCACAGGGAGGTCAGAGGAGTCATGGACTCTTGTTTCCTTGGGAGACCAAAAGATTCTCAAGCAAGGCCATATGTTAAGCAACACTTCACACAGCTAAACCTGGAGCCTTGAAGCTGTCACAGTGCTGTCACACAGCAGCCCAGAGCCAGCAGAGTCCACAGGACCCCTGTAAAGCCTGGAGCTGGGAGGCAGAAGGATCCCACCACATCCTTGTATTTCCTCATGTCCATTCTCCACTTAATCCCTTGTTTATTGCTGCAGGCTCTGACACATCTGCTCTTTGCTCTCGTGCTTTGCAGGACACACAGCAGTACCTGCAGCAACACGGGAGGGCAAGGGAGGTGATCCAGCCAGGGAGTCACAGCCCTGCAGGGATGTGACATATAGCACTGGGAATGCCTGGTGACATTCAGAAGGCTACTGCCCAGATGAGCTTCAGGGCATCCTGACTCAAGATGACTTTTCCTTTTGACATGAGGGTCACATACCTTAATGGTGAAGATCAAGATTCGGCCCCGGGCAACCATGTTGAGGAAAAGTACCATGGCTTCATCTTCATGGGGAGAGTAGGTGTCAAAGACCCTCTTGGCCATCACATGACCCTATTGGTATTCAAACATCACATGCATCTCAAATACCACATGGTACAGAATTATGGAAATCTGTTCTGGAAGCCTCATTTCTTGAGCAACACAAGGAGTGGCTTTTCTGGTATGCCAAGGAGTTAATCCCCAGCCAAGCTCAACCCTCAGGCCCACGGGACAGCATCACCCAACCTCACAACTCCTCCCCTGCCCGCTCCCCAGGGACAGCAGGCAGCACAAGGGAAACCCTGCAGGGACAGTCTGGGTGACCCTGTCATGCTCTGCACACTACAGACAAAAAGCATTTGGGGACTTTCCTCCTGGCTGCCCCCAGCCTCAGGCACCCAACATCAATCAAGTGCAAGGACAAACTGCCCAGTCAGAAAGACAAATGCAGACACGTGGAGATGCTTTACCGTGGCCTGATTTAAGACAATGACGTGGATCCCTCTTCCCTGCTCCCGAGCCTCATCTTCCAGGACCTGCAAGTGGATTAAATGATAAGAATCACATACCAAGACCTCTTCTTATCCCCTGCCCATTCAGCACAGCAGAGCCCCCAAACAACGGGCAAGTCTCTCTCCTGTGACGTTCTGGCTTTGCCCATGGCAGTGGTGGGTGGAAGAATAGAAGACAACACAGGAAAATAATCCCAGAGCCCCAGAGGCAGAAGGGGGGATCCACTCCTAACCTCTTTGCCACTGAGGTGCTCTCATCGCTGCTGTTTGCAGCTTCACCTGTTCAGCTCTATCCACCCTCTGCTCACAGGGACAGCACTCCCATCACTTACCGTCGTCCCATCCACAGCCACGTAGACCTTGGACCGGCTGGAATACACCTCGACATCCAGGACCTTCTTGTTGTTGACAGGGTGCCTGGGGACCTCCACATTCAGCATCTCATCATCTAGAGCAGAGAAATGCCCAGTTTCAACCAGTCAAGGCACCTCCAGCTTGCCCCTGCTCAGCCCAGCCAGGCCTCCTGAAGGTTGTGCCCACCAGGTATCCCAGCCCAAGTAAGGGGGGATGGCAGGCATGGGAAAACAAAAAATGGCAACAGGACTCTCCCCACACAGATCCCTACAGCTAAATGTGCCAAAGCCTTCAGTAGAGAGCCCAGGAACGGGGACAGGGTTTTCTAATAAGTTTTGTTAAACCCACAAGCACAGACTTGTCTTTTACATTGTAGCTGGTCACAAATTAGCCCTGACTTAAAGAAATTACTTTCCTCCCTTGCTTCCAAAACACAGCAGGATACTGCCCCTCACCGTAGTCCTGTGCAGACTCCTCTTCCTCCTCATAAGCAGCTCTCCTGGTGTCCAAGATCAGCTTGATGTTCACAATCACAGTCACGAGCAGGAAGAGGACAGCACCTGTCTGCAATGCAGGATGCTTTGTGTTAGCAATTTGTAAGTAACAAGCCACTTTGGCAGGGGCTGCAGGGCACCCCAAGGAGATCTTGCGAGGGATCACAAGCATCTGTCAATCCCCCTGTTTTATTCTGGGGAGAGCAAAGAGAAAAAAATACAGGTGACCGAGTTTTATGGTGAAAGGCATTCAGCAGCTGGAGAGCACTGCTTTCTTGTTATGTGAGAATTAACCCATTTCCACCATATCCCCGCTTCCAGATCTGTGAGCAGATTCCTGCCAAAATATTGCATGAAGTTTGAGGGCCCCTGCAGGCAAAGAGTTTGGTAATTCAGAGATACAGCTCCCAGGATAACCTTAACTTCTGCCTCCCTTGCAGCATCACTACTCTCATCTGTCCCCCTGCAACGAGAGGATGCACTCCGGGTATTCAGAGGAGAGGAGATGCTGTGCAGCTAAAACAAAGGGAAGAAGCTGAGGTCAGCTTTCAGGAAAGAGCACTGTACCACAGGCTGCAGAGAACAGCCCACAGCTTTACTGTCTGCAGCAAACTTCAATGCAACCCACGTGGCTGCTGACAGAGAGGGCTGTGGGAAGGTCCAGGGGCTGTGGAACAGTTCATGAGAACTCCTGCTGTGACCGTCACCATTGCCCATGGCCTTGCTGTTCCCAGACCAAGAGGAGGGGCAAAAGACTACATCATTTCTACAAGCACCTGTTTTTGCTTAAACGCATCTTGCTCCTCTCTTCCTCAATTTCAGTCTTTTTCCTGGTATTTGTACCCGGTGTAAAGCAGAAACTACTCCACCCTAACAGGGCCCCTACTGAGACAAAGCCACACAGGAATACCTGGACCACAAACACCTCATGTTGGGAAATAATCTACCTTCTGCAAGAGCAGGTCTGGCCCCAGCCAAGAGGATGCAGGCTGCATCCTCGTTACAGCTGCAACGCTGGCCTGGGATGCAGGATTGCAAGGTCAGACCTCAGATGAAACAAATTGTCTTTACTTGAGCCAGGGAGCTTTGTAAACCAGGGCCCAGCTGCTGCTTTGTGGTGGAGAGGTGACAGCAGCACATGGTGGCTCTGGGGCTCTGCATGGGACAAAGGGCTTGCCCCAGGGCTGGGGAACAGATCCAGCAGGCAGCCCAAAAGCTGTCCTGGACAGTCAAGCAGTGAGGGAAGGCTTTGCCACTTGGATTTAAGACATAAAGTCCTGAGCAGCTGTTACCCCCAAAGTCAACGCTGCTGCAGGGCTCCACCACCACCCTCCTGACCAGAAGGGTCTGTCCAGCTCACAAGGGAGCCCCTACAAAAGCCCAAATGTGACTGCTGTGTGTTGCTGACGGATTCATTCCATGGCCCAAAAGCTCTGTCCCCTTGGCCCAGCCCTGCTTAGGACATACCAGGTAAGGTTTCCAGTTTCAGCCATTTCCTACCAACCTCCCTGGAGCATCCCAAGGCTCAGCATGGAGATGCCACAGCAACCAAGAGAGAGGAGGGGAGAAGTTGGTGGAGTCTGCTCCTAGCCTGGTCCCCTGGCAAGGGGTGCCCAGACAGGCTTTGGGGTGGTTTTGAGACTCTTCCCTTGCCCCTCAGCCCCACAACAGCTTTCTTCCTAGAAACCTGTGCTTTTTCAGCTCTAGGACCCTTGATTCTCTGCAGTCTGGGGTGGGGTTGGGATCACACACAGGCCTGCCCTTGGTGAGAGGCACTAAAAGGATTCCTGATCTGTCTGTCCAGCTACTGCCTCAAAACTAGGTGTTGTTGCTCTCTCTGCCAAGCAGCCAAACAGGTTCGAGGAGCAACCGGGGAAAATGGAAAACCAGCAATAACACAACACCACGATATAAATGTCACCACAGCATTTTGGCTTGTTAATTGGCTGTTGACTCAGGAGCATGAGCACCTTTTGGGATCTGTGCACAGACAACTTTTAATTAGGCAAGAGCAGAGCTGTGGGCTCGTGGTGAGGCAGCAAGACCACCTTCCCAAGCTGCCCACACCTTCCCCCTGCTCAGTGCTGGGGATGTGAGGGAGCAGCCCCAGCGACCAGAGGGAATAAGGCAGCACTAAGCAAGACCAGCAGCTGAGTCTAGCAAGGCTGATGCAGTCAGAGCTGCCGATGCAGACTCAGATGTTGCAGACTTGGCTCCTCTCAGGAAAGGCCCCTTTTCTGCTGTTTGCTGCCACAGGGCCAAACCCCTCCTGTCCTTACACCCCCAGACACCCTCCAGGATGCTGTCTCTGCCAAGGATTAGCACAAGCAAACAAGCCTGCAGCTTTCCCAGACGCCAGCTGCCTCTGGGGCACAAGATCCTGTTACAAAGCCCTATTTTCTCTGTCCACCTGTCATGCCCCATGCCAGGCCTGGTTTGCAAACCAAACAAGGTAAGAATGGTTTCCCTCTACGGGCTGAGCCCTGCAGCACTCTGCATGGGTCCAGAGCCAGGAGGGGAGGAATCAGCCAGGCTTCTAGCTGAAAGACTCCCAGGGCCACCTGGATAATTGTGTCTCCTTCCCATAGCCACTCAACAGGTCCCTCTGCAGCTGAAAGGAGCTGCCAGACACGGCAGGCCCTTCCACACAGAGGCACAGGAGGGAGCAAGCTGGGGAGCAAGCCACGCTTCCCCAGCACATCAGGTCACTCTGGCTGCCAGCAGACCCACTTCCAGCCATGCAGCTTCTCCACAGGCTCGTAAATCCCGTGGGTTATCCCTCCTAATCCCCCCCAGGCTCCCCCCTGCGGGTGACTCACCTGACACAGCTTCCGCAGCGCGCGCTGGTTCATCAGCTTGTACTTCCAGGCCAGGTACCAGCTCCGCTTCTTGTGGGGCTTCGCGGCGGGGCTGGGCTTCCACTCCTCCATGGCGCCGGGGGCAAGGGGTCAGGATGTGTGCTGCTCCGCTCCCGCGTCCATCGGGGCTCCCTGCCGAGGCGGGACGGACGCAGGGTTAGGGAGGGGACCGCCTTCAAACCCCCTCCCCGGCACAGGCAGTGCCCGTGAACAGCGCTGACTAAAAGCCCCTTGGACTAAAACCCTCCCTGCCTGCCAGCCCTCCCACCGGGAGCGATGCGGGAAGCCCCGAACGCGTGTGCCGGGGACGGCCCCTCCTCCGGGCCAACCTGGAGGCTGCTGCAGCGCCGTGGGCCCACTTCTGTACCCTGGGAAAGAAAAGCTGCCCAAAGGCACGGGCTGGCGACAGGCCCGGGACCCGCAGGGTGTGATGGATGGAAGGGTCGCCACTGGCCGCGTGTGCCCGTGTAGAGACACCCCCTCCCCACGCACTGTGAGAGACAGACCCGGCCGGAGCACAGCGTCCCCCAGCTGGGCCAGGAGCGCCAGCGACGAGCCTGGAGGCACCGGGGAGGGGGCGGCCCACAGGCTCTCGGGGTGGTAGTGGAAGAGCGGCGAAGGGCACCGAGGAGCTCTGGGCGGGGAGGAAGAGCCGGGAGGGCGACAAGAAGAGCCCGGGGGGGGTCTGCAGCCTGTACGTGTGTGTGTGTGTGTGTTTGTGTGCCTGCCGGCCGCACTACTCACGGTCCGCACGGGAGGCTGAGGCGGGGCCTGTTCGGGTCCCGGCGGTGCCGCCGCCCCGCGCACCCTCCGCGCCGCTTCCGGCGCCGCACCGACACCGCGGGGAGGGGGGCGTGTCCAACTTTAGCCACGCCCACCCCCGCGCGCCGCTCTGCCCGCCCCGGCGGCCCCTCGGTGGTGCGCGGGCGGAGGGGGCGTGGCCATTCGGAGGGAGGCGTGGCCGGGGGCGTGGCGCGCCCGGGCGGGCCGCGGTGACAGCGCGGTGCCACCGCCCCACCCGCGCATGGAGGGCGGCGGGGAGCCGCTGCCCGCCGACCTGCGGGACCTGGCGGGCAAGGTGGGACGGCGCCCGCCTGCCGTGCTGCTGCGGGGGCTGCGCGCCGACGCCGCCCCCGCGCCGCCCGCGCCGCCCGCGCCGGCCCGCGGAGAGCGCCCGCCGCTCGCCGAACGCCTGCGGTCGCTCCGCCTCGAGCTGGTGAGTCCCGCGGCACCGGGGCCGCCCCCCCCGGGGGATGACCGTGCCGCCCCGGGGGTCGCCGCATCGCCCCCGCGCCGGGTAGCTAGCTGCTTGCCGCCCCCGGTGACAGCCCCCTGATAGCGCCCCGCGCTCTGCCGGCGTTTTGGGGAACCCTCCCTCCCCCCTTGCGCTTTGCTGCTTGACGGCCCCCAGCTCAGATCCCTTCCTCCGGGCTATCTCTGCTCCCCGGCGCACGCAGCATCCCCCGCCGGGGTCCCGCGGACACCTCCGCCCTCCTCCGTCCTACCCCCTCACCCCGCGCACCCCCGGGTTGTGCTCCTGTCGTGTCCCGGGGTCGGGATTTAGGGCAGGGACCTTCGCCAAGGGCATGGTGGCCGATCTTCTCTCCCCCAGGTGTGACCCCCTGGGTGACAAGGAACGGGCATGGCTGGGAGCTTTTCCGGGGTCCGGTTCCTGCTGGGGTTTCTCGGGTGGCTCGAAAAGGGTTGGGCTGCAGCGGGACCCTTTCCCGGAGGCCTCAGGAGTGCCTTCCTCGCCTCCCTCTTTCGTGGAGGGAGCAAATACCGGCGGTGCCTGCGCCTCCGGGAAACGTGGCGAGATTGGGCAATGGGTTCAAGTGCAGCTGGAGGGAGGGACTCTCCCACGCATGAACATGCCGAGCGGGTGGGAATGAGCATCGTTTCCATAGGGAAACAGGCTAAATAAACCCTGCCTGCCCCCTGCGGGGCTGGGGCACCACCCAGCCTGAGCCCTCCACTTCGCCTGATTCAGTATTCCCATCGGTGCAGGAGCTTTCATCCTCCCTCCGCTTTCATCCTCCCTCCGCACCGCCTTCCAGGCTGCACCCTGACCGGAGGAGAAAGGTCTTCGGGCTCTGGGTTGTTCAGGGGAGGAGGAGGAGGAGGAAGAGGAGGGCAGAGTGGTGTCTGCCCTGCCCCGGTGCAAGCAGGCTCAGCCCGTGGCCAGCAAGGCCTGGCTTTGGCCGGGCATTATTCACCTCAGCTCAGAAAGGCTTTTCCTCGCTCTGCCCTGGCTCATCTCAAGGGCCAGCGAAGAGGTGGGGACACCTGACACCTGGGTCAGCAGCTTGGGAATGGCACCCAGGTGCCAAAACCCAGCACAGGGCTCCCCTCATGTCCCCATCCCCATGAACAGCAACCAAAATTCTGTCCCCCCCCCCACTCCTTCCCCCGAGCAGCAGAGACCAGCAAACACAATGCTCAGAGGATAAGCTAGCCTGGAAGTGGGCGGTGGGAGGAGAATTCCGCAAATTCCCACTCGTGCCTCCTGATCTGAGGAGGATAATTTATCCCTAGGGCTAGATGCACTGAAGGGAGAAGGTGCTTGCAGGTTTCTTCAGTGCTGAGGAGGGGAGCAGGACCACATCTGCCCCTAGGGAGTGTGAGGGGGAGTGTGACAATCCCCTGGACGGCTGCCCTTGGTGGGAGGTCAGTGCAGTGAACTCTTTCAGTGCATCTGGAGGAGTCTCCTCTCACGATAACCTTGACTTGCTGGAGAGGGGGTTTCTTGGAGTGCAACGCGGGGGTCAGGCTGTCCTGAACTAGCAGCAAATTAGGGGCCAGCTCCTTCCAGCAAACAGTATGGAAAGCTGGGAGTGTTATCTCAACCTCTGCTTTTGGGGTGGCTCCCCTGGCATCTCTTGACAGCTGCAGTTCTGCATGAGGCAGAGAAAGATGGGGAACCCCCCCCATCAGGGGTTCCCAGCCCTCCTCCTCCCACGTCGTCTCCCTGCCAAGGCCAGATGCTTTAGCAGTGCGTGCAGAAAAGTCCATTGTAGGCAGTTTTTTAAATAACTTGCCTAGAAAGGAAATTTCTGCACTTGGAAGCTGGCTCCTGCCCCAATCCGGGCACATCGCTGCTATTTTTTATTTAAATCCAGCTTGAGGGGCATGGGGGGAGGGATGGGGCATTGGCTTCAGGTTTTTTACACATCTTTGAACCTCTTTTTGTGTCGTCTGGAATGAGAGGCGTCACGTGCCGATATCCTGGCTGGAGTTTTCCCAGGCTCCTTCCTTGGATGCTTTTTGTTGCTGTTCTTGCTGTGGGACCGGGGGGGGGTCTCAAGAGACTGTCGGGTCACCCGTGGGCGGGCGAGTGACTCCGAGGGTACCGGATGCTGGGGACCAGGCACTGTGCTTAAGCATTATCCCAGGGGACGGCTCGGATTTCTGTCATGGCTTGCTGATGCCGGGGATGGGATATGTTTGTGAAGGAGTCCGTGGGCATCCACAGCTCCCAGGCTGCCCGTACCTGCCCTGCAGTGGGTTTTTCTCCCTTTCCCCCCATCGTCGCCTTATTCCCTTTCCTGACAAAACGTTTGCGTCCCGCGCAAGGGGAAATCCAGTGGCTCTTGGCGGCCAGTATCATACAGACAGGAATGTCTTGGCACGTGGGGCTTTCCGTTAGGAAAACAGATGTTTCTTCAGCAACTGAAGTTTGCAAAGAGCTTCCCCAGGCTCGGAGGGGCAGGAGTCGGCGAGGCGAGTGCTGGGATCAGCAGTGCCTGTCCTCTTCGTCCTCCCGTTTCGGGAGTGATTTGGGGTCTCCAAATCTTGCCGTGTGACATCGTCACCAGGCTTGGTTCGGACCCTGGAAGGAGAGAAGTAACGGCATGAAGGGACCGGCCTGGGGAGATGCTGATGGTTCAGCCAGACCCTTGCCCTGATCCATGTTTGATCCTTTTGCCCTGACAGCAGCCTCCCAGGGCTTGGGGAATGCTCTGGGTTCAGATCTGCACCCAGTACTTCCAGTTCCTTGCTTACTCCCTCTTCCCATAGGAGACAGTGACATAAGTGCCCTGGATTTATTTCCTTGGGGGGGTTGGTGGCTGGTGAGAACCCTAAGTCACTGGTTACTGATGGTCATGTGCCCAGGTCTTGGACAGGGTCCCATGGGATGGTTCCCTGCAGGGTCTTCTCCCATACTGGGCTCTTCATCAAGCAGCTCAGGAGACCTGTGGCCACTGCGGTGACACCTCTGCCAGGATGGGCTGGGACTTGGGGCCCTTGTCCACTGGGGTCACCTCGGTCCCCTCAACCCCCCTGTGCTCTCTGTTCTCCCCTCCAGGCCTACCTGCGAGCCGTGGATGTGAAGATCCTGCAGCAGCTGGTGGTGGTGAATGAGGGCATCGAGGCGGTGAAGTGGCTGCTGGAGGAGCGGAGCACGCTGACCAGCCGCTGCAGCAGCCTGGCCAGCAGCCAGTACAGCCTGGTGGAGAGCCAGGAGGCCTCGCGGCGGGGCAGCTGGGACAGCCTGCAGGACCCCAACGACAGGCTCGACAGCATCTCCGTCGGCAGCTACCTGGACACCTTGGCTGATGACATGGATGAGTACTCCCAAAACGCTGCTGAAGCTGCTGCTGCTGCGTCCACGTCGGGCAGAGCCCTGGCCAGGGCGGAGCAGGATTGGGTCAGGATCGACCCCGAGAGGGGTCCTGCAAAGCAAGAGAAGGGCAAAACCGAGCACGAGTGGCCCCACGTGGACCTCTCCCCACCGGGGTTGCCCCAGGATCACCGGTTTGCTAAGGAGCCCCAGGTGGCCAACGGGTATTTGGGCCAGCAGGCCCCCTCCCTGGAACCAGGCAGAGACACCAAATCACCATTGGGGGCCGGAGAGAGGGTGGGGAAGGGGAATCTGGGTGGGAAGGCTCGGAATGCTGAGGCTGACTTTGAGAACTGCAAGCTCAACAGCAAACTGCACCTGGAGTACGATGCCCACTGGCGCTGGCTCCAGTCTCAGGACGATGTGACATTCTTGTAGCCCGTGGCTTTGCCTTCCCAGTCCAGCTCTCCCAACTGCCCGTTCTGCTTGTCTGTGCTTGAGAGAGTTGGAG